CAGCCCACATGTAAAGACGTCTTGTTACAAGGGGTCTATAGAGCTTCTAAAAAAACCAGCCCACATGTAAAGACGTCTTGTTGCAAGGGGTCTAATAGAGCTTCTAAAAAAAACCAGCCCACATGTAAAGACGTCTTGTTACAAGGGGTCTATAGAGCTTCTAAAAAACAGCCCACATGTAAAGACGTCTTGTTACAAGGGGTCTATAGAGCTTCTAAAATACAGCCCACATGTAAAGACGTCTTGTTACAAGGGGTCTATAGAGCTTCTAAAAAAACCAGCCCACATGTAAAGACGTCTTGTTGCAAGGGATCCATGGAGCTTCTAAAAAAACAACCCACATACCGTAGTCATCATTAGGACTTGTCGTTGGAGCGGGTGTTGTTGCCTCGGCCATTCCATTCTTCGGTATGAACTCATTCCAGAAATTCATTTTTTGCACCCGTAACTTTGAAGCAGGTGCGGGAAAGCCCTTTAACACCTGATACTGTTGGTCTGCGATAGTGTAGCGTGGCCATGCTWGCTGGGTGGGGAAGTTGGGTGTCCTTTAGAAAACATTAATGTCATCTGTTAGCGATTATGACGCGAAAKAGTAACCATAGTTACCACTATATAGAGATTTTGCAAACATTAGCGTTATAGACAACATACCCAGATTTGATAAAGTTCATCCAAGGTTCCATCATCGTTACAGTAAATCCTGATACAACTGACGTGGGTTTTGGGAAAATGTRCCTCAGATCAGCCCTGTGGGCGACGTTCATCCATGTGGGATTGGGTTTACCATTGACGTCATTAACCTCTCGATACTCTGTCTAGAGATGGGCTATTTTTAGAAACCGGATGCATTTGAAATTTTTTCTTGCCCTACTCCCGTGCGTCATCAACCTTGCRCGCGCACGCTATTTCCGTCTATCGTTTTGATTGTGTTTTTAACACTAAAAACGAAACGGAAAGAGCGCCRCGCGACGTATTTGACTATTAAATACTAACTACTAGTATAAGTGTTTCACGGTCTGATTAAAATCACTCAACTTTAAGCGAACGTTAGCGAACATGGTGCACTCAAGCTAGACCACAACGCATCTTGTTTATGGAACTCAGAAAATACCTGAGATGTGCGACCGTTTTTTCCAACATAATTGTTTGCGCAGAGCCTGAGAACTAATCTCTGCCCCAGGGTCCGTGGTTTGTAGAGAGAATGGAGAGAGTGGGTAAGAGGCGTTTATCCCTTATACCATACCTCATAGAAAAACACAGGGATCTTCTTTGCAAAAGCATTAGCAGAATGTATAGCAGGAGCTCTGTATATAGAGTCAGTCAGCAAATCGAGATACTGCCTTCTCGTCATATTGACGTCATTAGGTTTTGACCAATCGGTGTATTGGAAGGCTATGATTGGCGGGACTTTGTTATCTTGGTTACGGATCCATGTTTTGTTGCCAATGACTTGTTCAAATACTTCTCTTGTTAAACCTTTGGTAACATCGACCCCGCTATTCACACCTAGATTTCAAAACGAAACGAATAATAATTTTAAAATATCTGCCGCCTTGATCAATAGCAAATTCTGACATACAAGAAGATGCACGTTTGTGAAAATCCAAAAACTTAGCCTATATGTTGGGATAACCCATAAGAACCACCATGTTACAAAAAAATGCTGCCCAAAACATCTTTAAGTAGTGCATGTTATATCGGATGTTTTCGCCATAGCCCTTTTCTAAGTTTGATAAACATGATGTATTGTGGTCTAGCATGGATATAAACAACAGCATATAAGGCATGATGAAATAATGATTTTTGTACCATAATGCATCATGTTCGCTCTTTCAGTAAGGTCTATCTCTCTATTTTTAAAAGATTCCTTGGTYCTAATAAACGGAATAAAAGAAAGGATTCTGGTAGTGGTAGCACACTATAACTATGCAAACCAAAGCCCATCAGAAAACCACTGAGTTCTTGGCATTTTGAATAGTAATAGAGGTTTGGCACCATTACTTGCTTGGACTGACTGTGGTTAAATGGCAAAACAATAAAATTCCTTTGCTYTTGGGAATTGAATTCTTTCTCGTGTAAAACGATTGTATTRTTCCTGCCATCTAACATGGCTGCCGTCACGTGATGGTGSAAAACCTCTATGGGAGAATATTAGTCTCACCGGGAATATCGTAAAGAAAGTCACTTCCATCATCGTTAGCAACACCAGTAAGAACACTGGACCCGTTAAACTTTCCTTGGTCTAAAAGTATTGGCGGGGAATCTGAAAAGAAGACCACACAGTTATCAATGAACAAGTATTCGAGGTAAAGGAATGAATCTCAATGGACTATGAGTATAATCAAGCTAGGGAGAATCTTGATACCCCATTCACRCCTAAACGTGTTTAGTTAAACTATGTTTTCATTAGGAAAAAAATTGAGAAACTAGAAACCTACAATATAATGAAACTTTCTAAAATATTGTCAGAGAAAGACGAAGGATAGTTTACATGCATTATTTTACCAAAGATTGTGCAGTGTTCGTAGATAGTTTTCCAAACCTGTTTAGTTAAACCACTTTAAAACATGTTTAAGCCTTGGTGTGAATGAGGTATTGGAGCCGGAATTTGTTATCTCGTTAGCAGAATATAGGACAGTCAATGATTAGCGTGCTTCCGTTAGTTTTTGGGTGTACGCGAGATGTTGCTAAGCACGAAGGAAGTGTAAGAGTCGCAGGAAGCAAAGCTGGAACTCGGAAAAGCACAGAGGGGAAGAAACAGGCAGCTCTACTCATAAACGACTCCGAGTCTAGGAATCAAACTCGGGTCTCACAATCGCTCTCACCACTACGCCACCACCCGTGCTTCCACGGCAAATCGTACGMTTCCGTCCGCGCGGGATACCAAGAACGACTGTTATCGACGACACTTTTAAAAAACTCCAGAAGTTGCTTGTTTCGTTATTCTAATTTCTGCTTTTGTTTACCGACCTCAGAAGTGAGTCTAAGCCCGYATACACTGGAGTTTCAAGAGTAGTTAATATAATGCCATTAGTTCTGCTTACCTGGTAAGACATCTCCATCCACAACAGGTGCCCACTGTGCGAGTAGAGCAGATGGATGCGTCTTGTTTTGCGCTTCGATAAACTGTGCTGGGGATTTCCTTTTCAAGCAGTCCTTGAAGTCGCTGCTTGGGTGAGGGCAGCGGAGAAGGCCTCCAAAATACCTGACAAAAAAGCAGCAATTGGGAATCATGATATCAGAGGTAAAACTGTGAAGACAAGCGCATTGCGGTGAATAGAGAAAGCAGTGATGAATAACTGAAAAACTTTGCTTTGCTTTGCTTTCTCTCTCCTTTTTTCTTGGCCTTCTTCTATCCCAATTTCGCTTTAAAAAATTATTCTACGGTCAGTCGACTRAACTCAAAGTCATATCGTAGTCTTCATAATAGTCTAAATATGGCAGTATATGCAAAGTTGAAAAAATATGCATGGTTAAATGCCTTTCCTTCTCCGCACAACAAAATACAATCCAAAGACAGGTATAACAGAATCACGCAGGCAATAATGGCGTCGAGACTTAGGGAAGGAAGAGAGAGGAAAAAGAAATGGTGGTTTTGGGAAGTGGGGGGGGGGGGGGGGGGGGGGGGGGGGGGGGGAGTAAAAGGCGCACTATCGCCTTCCTGGGAGAGCCGTCCATCGTGTATGTTTAAACAATCAATTGCTTAATGGGAATACTAGAATTATAGTACCATTTCTGGCGCAGTCTCCTACGCAGCTATTAAGTATTTAGGAGAGTAAGCGTTGCGTGACGGCACTAATGGTTGATGGTGGTATCCATATTCATGTGTCTTCTCATGTGCAACCGAGCGCAACCGTTACACAAAGAAATGATACTCTATGGAATGACACGTGGTCTGAAATGGGAAAACATTACGCCCGAGCCGAGGAGGTCTATTCCTAACGCTGAACAAGTTCAATACTCATTTCTTACCGAGCCCTAAGATCAGCCTCTTCTTGCTCCAAGTATGAATACAGACCCCCAGCAGAGCCACTCATCATCAATACTCTTTCATACAGTTCATTAGCATATGGTGACATCATCAGTACTCCTACAAGACGTGCACCCGCTGACCATCCTCCTAGGGTCACGTTCTTTGGGTCGCCACCAAAACTGGAGAAAAAATACGTAACAGTTTTTAACAGTGTTAATCTATGCCAGTATGCCAGTATGCCATCTATACATGCATCGAGAGTTCTGCGCTACTGCTTCAAGCGCATGCTCAAGGGGTCAAAAAGTGGGATCATGGGTTGTGAAAAGTTATATTTGACAGTCACAGTTTCCTGCGCCATCTTGAAAGGTAGCCGTGCATGCCTTTGCATCGAAGGAGACGAACGGTGAGCTTGCAATGATAGAGACCTTTTTTAACACCTTGGACAATTATTCACAAGTCCCTATCATTGCAAGCTCACCGTTCGTCTCGACTATTAGCTTAACGCTACTTWCTCTTGAATATTCAATGAAAATTGTGCTTGATAAGAAAAATGCGATTAAAATATAGCAATGTTTACAACCCATGATCTTTTTGACCCCTTGAGCATGCGCTTAGAGCAGTAGCGCCAAACTCTCGATGCATGTACAACGCTTTTGACAAAGAATGTGGACTATATCCAATGAATAAAACAGGCAATCAAGCCTTAGCACGTACGAACCGCATAAGCTAAAACGAAACATTTTATCAAACGATGAAACAGACTTGGTTTGATCTAAGGGAGCGAGCGATCATTATTTATTGCTGTATTATTTAGATTTTTWAAACGAAGTCACTAAACCAGTGCAATATATATTAGACTAATACACATTAGTAGGCCCTAATTTCATTGTTTTCTTTTGTGTCTATTTGACTATTAAACGTTGACTAGTATTTTTATTTGACGGGTTAAATGCCTCCACTCTGTGAGTGGTCCTCCCCCCCTCCTTAGTTGATAAATTTTGACTAACTCAGCACAKCTAGCCCGTAAATGGAATTTGGCCGGTGAATTTGTTTTTGCTCAGCTTTACTCGAACTTATACTGTGTACTTTGGCAGCTACCAGAGCGTCRCGTCTATTAAATATTGACATTTCTTGTTAGAGTTTGCATAATGAGTCCATCAGTTCTCGATATGTCATCCAATTGTCAAATAAAGCTTTTCTTTTGGTTGGCAAGTGATCTAAGTCCAATAAATAAAATTTACAGTTCTTCAGCGTTTAAACTGATAATAATAATATAGCGGTTTTTATTACGCATACATGAACATCTGTGCGGTAACAATAACTGAGAAAACCAAACAAATATTAAAAAGGTCGAAAAGAGCATATGTTCTATGGAAAATAGTTATTAAGAAGAAAGAAAATTTCTGGTTCAAAAATAAGAACTGTTTGGAAATTTTCAGATATTAAAGACACAAGTTAATTGGCTTCACTGATTTATACTTTTTTGGGAGGAAGCGAGGGTCTGGATTTGCCGAGCGCGTCAATCTCTAGATGCCTGTACGCAAATTGCTCTCGAACTTGTGCAGTGCACTTTGTACATGATGTTGTTGTAGCCATTAGTAGTATTGTCTATAAACAAAGCGTGTGGGTGGGAAAAAAAAAAAAAATGCGGCTGAAAGCCAAAACAGAACCAGGAGAAGAGAAAGGATCGATATGATTGTTGATTCTTGATATGATGTTTATTCAAAAAATATACCTTGGATTAGGGATTAGGTGTCGTGACTCCCGTTGCMACATTACTTAACGGTATGCATTAATTAAAGACTGTATTACACCCTTACATCACACCATAAACTCACAGCACAGGGAAGTACACSACGACAAAATCACGGTACAGCACAATACGTACGGTACAGCACATTGCGGTACAGCACATTACGGCACAGCACATTACGGTACAGCACAAAATGGCACAGCAAATTACGATACAGCACATTACGGTACASCAAAGCACACAACAACACACTACGGTACAGCAAAGTACAACRCAGCACAATAGAACAAACCACAGCATAGCATATACGTGGTCATAACACAACACAGCATAGTACGGCATATCATCAAGGCACAGCATAACAAGCGACAATGCACGGTCCACAAGGCACGGCACAACACACCACGGCACGGCACAACACACCACAACACACGGTACACTAGACTAGACAGCCTTTGAAAAAAAAAATCATAAAATCCCTCGCCAAGTTATCATATCTAATTTCATTTTGTGAATACAATTAAGATATTGAATTTCCGCGACAATGAAAAAATTAAAATATTCGGAAAACCGTTATAAAAAAAATTAGTTAGGGGTCGCTGAATAGAACAACTAACCATAACATGTTTACTTACAGGTTTAAAAAATGATGTAAAAAACACATTTGAGTTGAATAAAATAGAAAAATATAGATGGATTTAAATATAAAAGCGACAGTGCTTTATTATTCTGTTAAATTTCCTTCCTCAGGCGAACTCGCCACTAGTTCTCTTAAGAAAAACTAATTAACCCTGGGGATAACKACGACACTACAACGTACCAATGGCAAACATTGCCACCTTATGAATAATATAGAAAACAGATGTTCTGGTTTATTTTAGTCGAAAATCAGCTTTATACCAGAWAAAAGATATCAAGTACACTTTAAGCTCGCGTAGAATTTCAAGTGTGTAAACATATACATAGGTACACCGTCTTTCCAATAAGCCATTCTCTCTTTCCAATTAAATGGTATTTTTCCCCGAATTGTTCTGGAAAAAGAAAACTTGGAGCACAAAAAAAATCAAATCTTAGGCGTCGTTTCTTATACTGATTGATTAAGATTCAAAATCAAACCCAGAATTGACAAAGAGTGACTAATTTTAATATTTTATGAAGATGACTTCATTATGCGTTTTTTCCGATGAATGGGTAAAATTGTGTATTTTTAGAACATTCTCATTTAGTCCAAGAAAAAWTATATTTATTTTATTTTTATTTTATTTCATTGAAATTCTCTTTTTATCGAATATATCTTTAATGTGGAATTGTTAGAATCCGAATAAAGTGACTATATGAATACCAGCTTGTAGTATTCACTTTAATAGTATACAGTTATTGTTATTGTTGTGAAAATCGCTTAACCGAACGCGCGACAAGATGATGGAAAATCTCTTGTGTTCTCACTTGAGGAACTGAGATTATGAAAAATATGCAAAACATGGTTATATTTACAATGATTGTGCTCGAATTGCGAAAAATACCTAGCCGTTAAACGCCAAATGAAGACTATTTTACAGTGTTAAAGAAATACCGACTGTATTATTTATATTGGTAAATGAAACTTTGAATAAGGCATACATGAAGTGACCGAAAAATACCTGCCCGATTCCCGCCACAACGCGCAACGTATAAGATATAAACAAGGTTAATACTACAACCAAGATATACTTCAAATATACAAACTAACCTTTTAATGTTACTTTGAACCCATCGGAGCGCTTCAATWACGTCTAGGAGAGCATAGTTTCCAGAAAGACCTTCTTCTTTAAGACTAAGAAAACCCAGTGCACCTAGTCGATAGTTGACAGTAACTACTATAATGTTTCCCCRAGTCGCTATCGTACTGGGGTCCGTAATGGCGCTCGTACCAAAAATAAACCCTCCTCCGTGTAGCCAAACCAACACAGGGTTCGTAGCAGACTTTTCTTGAAAGGCTGTCGTGTTTGGCGCGAAAACATTCAAGTTCAAGCAGTCTTCACTCGTGTCTTTTGGCGATACCTTGTAAGGTGGAACATTCTCCAGCTGCGGACAAGATTTGCCGTATTTTGTAGCTTCAAGGGTCACGTTCCAAATAYTTGGTGGTTTTGGCCGCTCAAACCTACCAGCATTCGCGTAAGGTATTCCTAGGAACTGAACGACTGGTTTTCCAGTAGGTAGATTGATAGTTTTACCTCTCACCACTCCACAAGTTGTRTTCACTTCACCTTGTCTAARGTTGGTCGCTTCAGAGTGAATGCTYGACTTCATTATCGAAAACAGAACACTAACCAACACATACGACATCAATGTAGACCTTAAAATCGAATAGTACATGTTTTTGACCTCACATCAATGTTTTCCAGACGTTTTTGTAGTAGATTTAACAATAGTGTTTTCTCGATTCCCCGAGACCTCAAATCGAACGTTCGTATAGTGTCCTACGGCGATATAGTTTCCGCCTTTTCTTGCAAAGGCAAATCGCCTGTTTATTCCGATGAAAATAGTTCAGTGGAAGCCCTAGTACAAAGAGTCGTTCCCAAGCGTTTTTATGCGCCAATGAATACGAACAAAAGAATTTAAATAAATATTTTTAAAAGTTAACCACAGCAAACAAACTAAACTTTTTTGTGTTTTTTTCGGCCAAGGCTTCGCAAAATCCGTATTTTTTGYCAGAAATACTCGTAAACACGAGAACCAGGAAGTTGAGCCCAGATTTTACTGGTTGTTTAACAGCTCTACTCGAGAGACCGCGGTGGTATTAAAACTGCGTCGGTTTAGTGTTTTTGAATGTTATGAATGTGACATGAGTCMTCTCATACTCATAGATTAGTGCCCGGTGACGTCAGTATTTGTTCAGTTATACGAAACGCGCATCTATATTTAACGTCTTTTTCTATACCAACGGGCCGCATATTTTGTCTAATGCAGAAGTTATCCGGTTAGTTTTGTTCGGCTGGAAATTGTTAGACTGATACGTAGTTACGCTCAAATTATTAAGATAGTTGGAAGATAAAGTGAAATCAAGTAAATCGAAAATTTGTCAGATTCTTTGGTGTATCTTTGGTTGCTATGGTGACTACCACTTGTGGGCAAACAAATCGAGACATGACAAAAGGTAAACGACTTCACAGACTCACTGAATAAGCTACGGAAAAAAAACAGCGGAGTGAAGTTTGTGAACAGTTTTTTTCCCCCCCTTTTTTTTTTTTTTTTTTTTTCACTTTGGTTTTTTTCTACCTTTTAAGTTCGTCTGTCTAAATTTGGTAGCTCTAATTTATCTGTGATGCGTAATTGGGTTTTCTTTGCAAAGACCTGGTCTAGGGGAGAATTCAATGTTAAAAGAATTGCGACGATTTTCCAAATTTGGGCGGAAAAAAAGATTGAAGATTTGCCATCCATGTTCCATTTCTAGTTCCGAGTGGGCCAGACTGGAAAAAAAGCCTTGCTTTATCTGTTTACCCAACAGTTGGAGAAGATTTTTGAAACCTATGAAGTAACTTGGGAACCCACTCATCAAAAGGAACGTGTTWACAATAAATGTTTTTACTGATTTTGATTACCTTCATAAATGGTTTTCCAGTTCTCTTCTTGATTATAATAGCCAATAATTTTCCATATCAAACACTTGGATAAAGAAGCAGTTCGCCGAACGTTCGGACAAGTTCTTCATGAGCATCTGAAAAAAGATAAAACTGGAATTGAAACGCCCCGCCTATAGTAAGGTATTTCTTTGAAGGGTACTGAATCGATGGCTCTGGGTACTGGGTGGGGATGGGARTAAAGGAATAGCCCGTTTCCGGGGCTGATACGCCTTTAGATCCACAAATACGATCCAAAAAACATGTAAAATTCAAAATAAACAAGAGATTCAACAATATGGTAATGAAGGATAAACAAGACATCTTCGAGTGTAGTCAAGAGCACGTAGACGCATTTAATATAAATGTGCAAAAAAAGTAGAATTGAAATACCATGCCGACAACTAAACGAGCTAWGGAAAATGTAAAAAACAAGATATATCAAGAACTGAGGAGATAAGGTAAAATGATGAACATGACATCTTCGAGTGTGGTCAAGGGCCACTAAAACTCATATATGCGTATCTCAATACAATCTTTGGAACATATAGATCATCCAGGTAATGAACTTGTAATTTGTCCAACTTTGGATGACATGTTTGACATGAAAGAAGGATGTTTAGTGTCAAATAAAGTTTACAGAAATGTTATTTTGCAAAATAAAGAAACTATATATCAGCCAGAGGACCTAACCAATCGGCGGACACGAATTTTCACAGTTCAAGATTTCATTGTCTTTTTTTTTTTTATCGCGATAAACTGCTCAAAAACTGAGCTTAGGCTCATCATTCTCTTCTCTGGAGTATCATTTCTTTGTTTAACAGTTGCTTATGAGAAAGCACACGAATGTGGATACGACTCAAACAAAGAAATGATACTCAAGAGAAGAGCACGTGCTCTGAAATGGGACAACATTACCGGTACCCAAGGTAAAGAGGCCTGCCTATGAGGTCGTACATGAGAAGACACATGAATATGGATACAACTCAAACGAAAAATCTTATTCTCAAAGGAATTAGTGAGACATGTGCTTAAATGGAAAAAAGACATGTATTATTAATAAGATAAGATATATAACATCCATCGCACATATTGTGAATGGAAAAGTAGAAAGAAATAGTAGATGGAAAAAATAAAAGGAAAAAAATAGAAGGAAAAAATAAACTTGAAAAATAGAAGGAAAAAATAACTTGAAAAATAGAAGGAAAAAAATTCCGAAAAATCTACGGAAAAGGGAAAGAAAGGAAAATAGAGAAATAAAAAGATTAAAATATATAACAATCAGAAAATAGGAAAACATATCTTCCAATATTATATAATAATTAGAAAGAGAAGACTGACTACTTAAGTACAATTTTCTGGTTATACTCTATTAATATCCTTTAAATATATATTTTATCGAGAAGGCAATATTTTCTTTTCCTTATCGACTTTGACCGAGAAGCAGTTCTGATTTTAGACAACATCCGTTGGTCAAACACACCTGACTAGCCTGCTCTTGCGTCTTTCGACTACATTTGAACGACACCTTGTGGAAACATCATAATTTACATTTATCMGTTATTAATACTGACTCGGGTACAGCTAACGAACTCAGTGAAGAACTTAAGCTGGATATCGTTTCTTTTGAATGAGTGAAGTTGGTTTCTGCCTTTAATTAAACAGCTAATGGAGAACTCGTTAGTATTGATCAAAAATTGATATTAAAGGAGAAGAAAGAGAGAAAAATTAGGAAAAAGAGAGAGAGAGAGAGGAGACAGAGAGAGAGAGAGAGAAAGAAGGAGACAGACAGACAGACAGTCAAAGACGCAGAATAAAAGAATGAGAGAGAGAAAAAAGAAAGAAACAAAGAAAGAATTCGATACATTTTTTTTTTCTTGTGTGCTAAAATTGTTTACTTCTGGACTAAAATCTTCCTATCAGCCTGCAAAATTCAAATTACATAAAATAGAATACTAATAAAGTTTCTTCCGAGTTTCAATCTAGACAAGTTTATTATAGCCATGGGGTTCTCCAAGCTCATAGTAGTCTTTTAAAACAAAAATGTGATTGAAAAACACGACAAATATTTACATAAGACAATATTTATGAAGTCATTTACGAATTGCAATAAAAATGGCTCAAACAAGATCAATTGCTTGCTCTCGACTTCAGACAAAGCAGGTTATTACACTTAACTGATGTCTAATGACTGGAATTGCACAAAAAATAAGCTTGAATTTGAAGAGTAGGGCTAACTATGTCGAAAGGGTCGAACTTAAATTTTTTTTTCTCGAAAAATACAAATTCAAAAAAGGAAAATACTGGAAGAAAATTTTAAATAGATTTTAGTTTCAACTATCATTTTTTGTTTTTTTCCCCTTAATTGACGCAACCAAATTATTGTTTATATTCTCATTTTCTCAAAAGGTTCGACCCTAATTTTTTTTTCAAAAAATATTACAAATTTAAAAAAGGAAAATAGTGAGAAAATTTTTAATATGTCTTCAGTTTCATTTTTTGTTTTTTTCTTTGATTAACACAACCAAATTACTGTTTGTCTTCTCATTTTGTGGTAATCCACATAAATTTTCTATTTGAATAAACCTTCTTATTTTTATTGTTTATTCAAGGGAAAAAAACCTTTTGGCTCTTGTGGGACGAAAATAACGATTCTTTGCTGTCGTCTTTTCCTCCTACGCTTCGCTTTGAAATGAGAAACGAGGTTTTTCTGCCAGCTTTTTACGAGGTTTAAATGACTTACTTATTCTAATAAAAGAGAGACATTCAATCTACCATCTTTCGGCCTTTTACAGCTACACTCACATTGCGGKAATCAAATTCTATTGAATTCGACAGAATATTGAGACGGTGTAGTCTATTGTAATTCAAAGGGAATAATAAGGGCTATTTAATGTGTAAACTTCAAAATTTCATCCAATGAGCCTTGCTCGTAATCGTCGCGGAAATGAGCGTTCCTCTCAATGGAGCATATATATATATATATATATATATATAGAAAGCTGTTAGTCGGCCGTAGAGTACGACCAATGAATTAAGAGCGATATCTCGTTTCGAATCTGATCAGATCCTCTTTTTCCTTGTCGGTCCTTTGAATGGAAATTAGTATCTGATAGCAAGATAAATGAGAGAGGGACTAACTAACATTACTATCTTTTGACGTAAAGCAATCAGGAGCGACCCAAGGAAGGGARGAATAGGATCTACGCGCTACAAATATTGGTCTATTGTTTTATAGAAGCCGAGTTTTTTTTTTTTCTCTCTCTAAAAAACCCACTAAATCGTCGTTGCTTTTGTCTTCTTGTAGACGGGAACAGCCACATCTTGAACCGCACACGTTTCGCCGAAAAAGCTCGAGTAGTTTAACTTTTTTTCGAAGCTGCAATGTTCCTATCATTCACGTTGCTTTTTATTATAATTTCCTTTTCAAAGCAAGAAAAATTGTCGAAAGTGGTGGAGACTACAAGCGGCCCTGTACGTGGACACGGCGTCTCAATTCCTAAGAATAAGACTGTTTATCAGTATCTAGGAATCCCTTATGCCAAACCTCGTCGTTTTGAATACCCAACACAGGAAAACTGGACTGAAATCTTAAACGCCAATCAGTATGGAAAGCCTTGCCCACAGGCGAGTTCTCCTTATGGAATACAACGTCTTGAAGAAGCGAGCGAAGACTGTCTTAACCTAAATATTTTTGTCCCTGATTCTAAGGGAAAAAACTTGACTGTAATAGTGTATATTGGAGGGCTGTTGTACAGTTTTGGGAAAGCAAATGGAACGAGTTTTGATCCTTTGGCCGTTGCCTCGAAGGGAGAGGTGATTGTTGTATCTCTGAATTATCGTCTTGGAATCTTGGGTTTTTTTAGCGCAGGGGTTGAAGTTATTAAGGGCAATTATGGACTTGCAGATCAAATTGAAGCTTTGAACTGGTTACAAAGAAATATTCAAAGGTAAGATTAATTGAAGTGTGTGGGGATATATTTAGATAATCGGGAAATAAAGGCGTTAAAGAGTGGAATTATAAAAAGTGGAAGGTTGAGTACAAAAAATATGAATGAATGAATGAATGAATGAATAAATAGTGGAAACGAATGGAATGTTTGGCTTGTTGATTAAACGAACGTCTAAATGATTAAGAGTGGCTTGCATTCTTATGAATAAAAGAGCAGACGATGAAAGAATAAATGAGTTAATGGGAAGGTGAATGAAAGAAAGAAAGAACGAATGAATGTATGAATGAAACGAATAAATAAACGGAATGAATGAACGCCGGGTGGACGGGTGGACGGACGAATGCATGGATGGATGAATGGACGGGTGGACGGGTGGACGGGTGGACGGGTGGACGGGTGGACGGGTGGATGGGTGGATGGATGGATGGATGGATGGATGGATGGATGGATGGATGGATGGATGGATGGATGGATGGATGGAATAACATGGATAGATGAAATGGTTGGGATAGATGAAAGAATGGAAAGTAGTATAAATAGACGAACAAAGGAGAGAACGGTTAAGGAATATAATTATCGAGAAGGTACAAGGACAAATGTAAGGCCGGTAATAAAGAAAACTAAAGAAAAAATATCGCATTCTTGGTCTTTTTTTTAATTGGAATTACTAAGAAAAGATCAAAAATGWAAAGAGTGTCTGTGTCTTTTGTCAGTAATTTACATAACACGAAAACAGCGTCACTTAAGAACAAACATCCGTCACGTGTTATATACTTGTGTTATACAGTTCTAGACGTTTGCTGGTTTTTTCCCTTTCATTTCACACAAATTTTGACAATTGTTCTACCGTATAACGCTTGTATTTTGCGGTATACTTAGAGACAAGCGTTTTGATGAAACAACGGGCAGAAAAAAGAAAGACATTTAAACATCAGTTATTTTGTAATGTCAATTTTTTATAAGTATTTTATAGGCATGAGAGATAATTGTGCGTCTTCTTAACATGATTAGAAGATGTTAAACGTAGATTACGTTACACAAAGGGATTCAGTGAAACGCTGAACTAAAAAATCACGGATAAAAGAATAATAAATTCTAAATTACAAAGAAATTCATTCATTTTTTCAACGAATTTAATTTGAATTAAACAAAGAGAAAAGTAAAAAAGTAAGTACATAACAAGTACATATTATGAACTGAAATCAAGCGGCTTGGTGTCAGAATGGAATAGAATTTCAAAAAATAGCAAAATAATTATAAAACATTTATTATAAATAATTTCAAAAATATTTGAATAGATAGAAGAAAAAGAAAAAGGGAAAAGAAAAGAATGAACCAAGAATTTAATCTCAGAAAAATGAAAAACAGCAGAAATATGAAAGACAAATCTGATTTTTTTAAAATATGGATCGGTTTTCTCGGAGGAGGCGTGTTCACGTSGGCATGCGCAGACTCTCGTGACAGAATGCAATCATTAAATGGCTTCCACCACTCTGGACCAATCAGAATGTACTAAAATAATCACAGCACAGCATGTGATTACGGAAGCCATTTGGTAGTCAAGTGAAAGACCAACGCACGTTTCGTACCGGGATTCCTCTTATTTCCCATTTTCATAACAAAAACATTGCCATTAAATTGTTTTGAAATACTRTGAATGGACGAAAACAACTCATTTCTTTATCAAAATAATACGGATAATTAAGACCATTACACGAGGATATTCCACTGTTTGTTTGGTTATTCTGAGCTATATATGTGGATATTCAGATTGAKCCATTTAGCCAACACTCAATACATTTTAGATTAGACGCTTAAAAAAGCCTCGCTTCCTGTATTAACGGCTTCAGGGACTTTTATCCTATAAAATCTTTTGGTAATTCTCAAAATACATTAGTCTGAGCTGGAAGCCATTAAGACAAGATTTATACAACGACATTTGCTGGGAAATAATAATCCATTAGGCATCATTATCTCGTAACTTGATGATAGTTTGGTMTGTTTTCAATCTCAATCGCTTATTCAAATCCTCATAAGCACAAACTCTCTCTTAATGTGATTTATTGGCTCTGCCTTGTAAATGGGCACGACATTGCCGYCTGTTTTTGGTCGGTGTAAAGAGAGTTCTGAGTATGACCGAATTATTGGGGGATTAGGACAAAGAGACGGTCGATCTTACAAGAGATGAAAACCTGATAAATCGATCGCTCGTGTTAACACCAATCATCTACGAGTTCAATGGATCTTCTGTGTATCTCAYCAGAGGTTTATGGAAACCTCGTAATTCCTATATTCTCCTTTATAAAATATTTGAGACATGAAATGCGCGCTACATGGTAGGCTACCGAGTTTATATCAGAAGACACAGGCACGTTCGCGCAAAATCATCCAAAATATTTTATGAAAGCAATATTAAACGGCTGCTTGTGTCTTTTGTACGGTTCGTGTTTCTAAGCATGCTTCTCTCTTTTTCTACAGCTTCCAGCGTGTTTATATCACAGTCACTGTACGGTACAGAGACATGCGCGCGCGTGTTTTATTTCTTAAATATGATCCTACTAGTTTATCGGTAATCTTACAAGAGAGTTTTTTAAGCTCCGTAAAAAAAACAATATTTTCTTATTGTAGTTGGACGGACGGTCTAAAGAGGTTTTTGAATGTCTATCTGTAGATTTTTGAGGTCGGCTTACGGAGGTTTCTAATCGCTTTAAATGACTAAGTTTAGATTTTGGAGGTCGGTAAACTGAGGTTCTTAACTTGTCAAACCAGTTTGTGAATAAGTTTATCATGATTCATATCTTTCAGTTATTTTGATCAATATAAATTACAAGGTCATAATACTCTTACGAAAGGCAGACAAGATRAATATCAATCGATAAGAAACTTCTGTTCGTGTCAGATGCTATCTATAACTGACAGCTGTCAATCAAACACAGAGAGCGGTATATTTTTAACCGCATCGTGGTAGCGGCGTCTTAGTATCTCAGACGATCGGGAATAAWTATCTAAATATGGAAATCCCCTAGGCTAAAGCACCAGATATTTTGAAACCTTCGCTTCTTATGGGGGCAGTATGCGTCGTAACGCAGCTGTAAATTTTGATATGCATAAAAACAATAGAGTGGTTTTCGTACGAGTGGAAAACATACGGTACTTTACAACACGAACACGGTACCACATTGAAATGGCTTCCCATTGTCTTCCAATAATTCAGCCAATCACAACGCATAGTTACGGCTACGGTAAGATAAGGTACGGCTACAGTACGATTACAAATTTCCCGTATCGTTTCCCACTCACACAAAAACAACTCTATCATGGTAGTATATAGGCCGATCTTTATTTACGTTTTTTCCTCATAAGCATTAAAACAATTTCAAACAACAAGCAAACCAACTCCAGAAATCGAAAGAGAATGTCTTATTTAGTAACTACTGAAAATTTGAGAGTGATATGTTCAATATTTTGGGAGTAAATTCTTTTTGAAAACACTATAAATTACAAAGAAATGTATGGTCGTGTGAGGAATGTGTGCTAATGAGGAAAAAAACGTAAATAAAGATCGGCCTATAACAATGTCTTGTGCTTACAGGTTCGGCGGTAATCCTGATGACGTCACAGTGGTCGGTCATTGGTCGGGAGCCATGAGTGTTGGTCTGTTACTTGTCTCTCCCAAGGCTCACGGTTTGTTCAATCACGTGATACTGATGAGTGGTTCTCCATTGTCTTTGACAGCCACTTTAGACCACGTGACAGCTGTAGAGCGCGCCAGGTAAATCGGGATATTGGTACTACTATTGATAAAACAATAACGTGTTTAGGAGCTGGCCAGTAATTTAGGTTAAMTATTGGCAAATATCACCTTGCGGGCAGCCATGTTAGATGACAGGAACAATATACAATCGTTTTACAGGAGAAAAAATTCAATTCACGAAAATGGGATTTTATTTATCTGCCATCAAACCACAGGAAGTCCAAGCTGTATTTTCTATGAATTTATTTATTATTCTATGTATTTTTAATTTCCTCAGACATGGAGGGAATATGTTGCGCAAGCGCAAATGACATAACTTCCTCGTGTTCGGGTATCACCGATTGAGCGAGAAAGTTAACTAAAACAGTATTTTATCTGTGATAAGAAAGRAAAAAAATCCAGGGGAAAAAACAAAAACTTCCAGTGTATGCTGTAGTCGTTTTTCATCCTTCATGCTGCAAATTTCAGTCACATTGTCTAGCGGAATGTCCCAAAAAATAGGTGCGCAGATGTTGCGGTCGATCCAAAAAAACCCTGCATGACAATTGACGACCTCATTCTCGACCTCGTATTGCACCAGGACACGGCACGGCACTAAATGACACTAAAGAAGAAGAGGGAAGTCCAGTGAACTAGAAATCACTTGGCCCTAATACCGCCACATCACACCTCAACTATTATTGGCTATTCCGAGCTAGAGGACAAAACTGATTAGARCTGGCATTGMAGCGCAYTGWKG